AGCCATGAATTTGGTGCTGAATCATGAGTTTTGTGTATAATTACTCTACTAATTCTCTCAGAAATTAAATTGTACTCATAATTTACTTGCCTTAAAGTTATTCCAAACTTTTTTAAGTTCTATTTTCTTTGAAGAATGTTTGAAACAGCCACTAACCCTTTACTTTAGGAAATAAAAATATATGTAAGTCAATGGCTGCTGGTTTTTATTCATTCTGCAAAATAAACAAAACAAAGGAAATCAAACAGGTTTGTTTGGAACAAGTGTAAGGTATGTAAATGGAAACAGAATTGTCATTTATGGCAGAATTATTCTTATAAATCTGCTAGAAATACCATTTAGTGGTAGGAAAGAGATGCAGTTATTGCTGGTGTTTTGATGGAAACAGAGAAACAGCCTGCAGGAGCTGCCATGATCATGATGCAGTGCAGGATTTCTGATTAAGAGATGAACATCTGTCTCTGAGCTTCATGACCACACACTGATGCTCATTCAACACTGACTCAGACGCTGCTTGGTTGTAACAGGTTTTAGCTTTCTCACTGCCTGCTAGTAGAAAACATCTGACGTTATTGTTATTTCAAGCTTTTCAAGGTGTTTCTCAACTGCAGTATGTCACAATCTAGAGTTGAATCCCAGGTCTGTTCAGAGGGGTGGAAGGTGCAAAAGGAAAAAGGTTAAATATTGGAAAAATCAGAAATACATATCATTTTGTTTACAAGAACATTACTAAAACTAAAGTCAAAATTATTTATAGTACAACTAATGTAATTTTTTTTTTTTTAAATATAAGTATTTAAAATGACAAACATACTGACAACCAACTTAAACTGAACAAATACAATTGAAAACTGAAAATGTTTGAATAAAAATTATCACCCGGATTTCACCACAGTATGAACTACAGCTCTCTTCAGGCACCACACACACACACACACACACCTGTTCTGGTTCACCTTTGATTACACACACACACAGCTGGGAGCTGCACAAGGACTGATCACAGACTATATAAACTGCTCAGTTTGACACTCGCATTGGTGAGTCTTGTTGGTTGTTAACCTGTAAACGGTACGAAGAATTTTCCTCGTTCAACCTCTTCGTGTTTAACTCTTGCCATGCTCTCTTATTTACGTTGTCTGCCACCTGTATCAACCATTTTCCTGTAACCTGGCTACACTTCTGGATTTCCTTGTATGTACCCATTTGCTCCTGTGTTTGACCATTTCTGCCTAATTACTACTTAATAAAACTGCTTGTGGATCCCCAACTCCATTGTCCAGCATCCTCACAGTTACAAAAGTGCAGAATAAAGCTGCTTTTCCACTATCTGGCTAAATGCTTTGGCTGTTAGCTTAATCATTCCAGTCTGTGCTGATCTAGGCCAGTCAGCACAGAAACGGTTTCATTGTCCACAGTGGTGCTGATAACAGAACTCTTTAGAATGCAATACAAATGCGCCAAATGTTGTCTTAGTAATGCAAGTGTAATATAAATAACAACATGGATGATTTCTGTTTTTGGGATATTTGGCAGATATTTTCCTCATTGAATAACAACAAATAAATGAATAGATAAATAAATAGTTTACTTCCAAATAGCCAGTTATGGAGAAACTGGCAGCCAGGAATTAGTGTGGCGACATTACAGAAACTCTACCAACTATGCCTAGAATCTTGCACCTAGAAAGGTTTGAAATCAATCTTCTCTAATTGTTACAGGGTCAAATGAAAATACAACTGGAACTGTATTTGAATGTTCACAAAAAATGCCTTAATCCATTGAAGAAGAAAGAAATGTTTTGTTAATTTTTATTCAAAATCAAACTTTTTGTTTCTGCTCTGGAATGACAGCCAATCTCTTATGATGTCAGCTTGGGCAGATTATGTTTACCTAACCATTATTTTGACGCAAGTGAAAGATAAGAAAAGGAGTGCAAACATAAAACCCCACCCCCGACTCAATATTCCATTTCAGACGGAACAATATCATCATACTGTTCATGCATACTGTAATAAAAATTACCCCCAGTCACTCAATGATACTTAACAATGGATTATAATTATTTCTAAAATATACTAGCAATTTTGTTAACACTTTATTTTAGGTCACAATTAATGCTATCAACTATTGGCTTATTACCTGCTTATATTAAGATATTAACTGTTCATTAGTAGTTATAAAGTATGATTTCATAATCTTAACTGAGACCTAAACTCAACCTCTACCTAACTTAGTATTAATGAACAGATAATCAGTAGTTTTTTAAAGAGCCCCTATTATGGGTTTTTGAAAATTACCTTCCATGCAGTGTGTAACAGCTCTCAGTGAAGTGAAATATCCAGCTAAGGCTTAAATCTGAAAGTGCACCATGTTTAAAATTGATTCATCTATAAAAGAGTCGACTCAGAGTTCAAATAAATTGTGGGGGTAATGAATCTTTAGCCGTGTTGGCATGACGTCGATATGGAACTCAAGCCCCGATCATTTGTTACCCAGAAACACTGTGGAAATAAAAAAGAATACAAACACTGTAGAAAATCCCGGTTGAATCATGTCATGAAGACGCTGTGCTCTGAAGTGTGAAAAATAAGTGGTATTTTCCCTATCCAAAGATGAGGCTATGAAGTTTATTTTTGCAATATACCTCAGCATTATAGCCCCAGCCTTGTGCTGTGTTCCCGTCATTTTTCTGATGAGTGCTTCAGCAACTACACGCTTACAACGGGGCATTCATGGGCCATTTGTTAAAGGATGGATCAGAAAAGACTATTGATGTATGGGACTTTGTCAAAGCTTTACAGGAACTTTATTAGTACACAGTTCATGGATCAGTTTCTTCCTCCATTTCACAAGTGTAAGTGTGATTAAAATGGTTGCCTCCTTTTTTTTCTGCAGCTTGCAAAATATGTATTTAATTGTGTTCCATTACTTGTAAACGCTTGTACTGTATCTGCTTAACTCTTCATATTCATATACTGCGTCTAAAGCCACGTTGAAAATGCGAGGCGTGCCGCTTTGTTTACGTATTTAAATGCTTTTGTGAGTTTGCGATCCACTGCTGTTTGTAGTTGCTATGGCCACCATCAGCTGTTCCTACACATGTGTGGCCGTCAAGTTTCAAAATATTTCAGCTTTTTTCATTTCTGCTGAATTTGTATTTAAGTATTTGTATTTAATGTAGTTAAGAATAGAACAATATGCTAGTGTTAAACCACATTGCTTTAATGCAGTCCTGCAGTGGGCTCACACATACACTCTGCATTCTGACTAAAAATTGTTGAAAAAGCCATGGTGGGCACTTCTCTCTGTCTTGTACTGAATACAGTCGACCTATTACAACAGACTGGGTCATGGGGCTGCATCATGCTAAGGAGGGTGTTTGGGAACAAATGAACCACTAAGCGAATCATATGGGAGTAGTTGGGATAACTAGGTAAAAATAAATGCATATTTTAAGACAATGAAAGTGTTTTTTTAACCTTGCATGCAACTGTTGTTGGAGACCCCCAAAACCAAATATGACCTATTTAATGCATAATAGGAGCTCTTTAAACTAGCAGTATTAGTTGATGCTGAATTGTGACTTTGTTACCATAATTTTTATAATTAAAATAAATTATATTTTGATATAAAACCCTGAAATAGTGTTTTCTTATTTTCAGTGCAAAGTAACTAATTACAAATACTCAAATTACTGTAATTGAGTAGTTTTTTTTTCAGGAATTGTAATTTACTTAATTAAAAGTAGTTTTATAAATGTGTACTTTTACTTTCCCTTGAGTACATTAGTGCTGTATCGGTACTTTTACTCCACTACTTTTCTTTAACCTGCAGACACTACTTTATTTTTTCTTTTCTATGGGGATTAGAAAAATCAGTCCTGTGATTCCAGTCCAATCAAATTGCATATAGAAGGAAATTAGCCTCATAATGAACTATTTCAAGTTATTGTGTGCTTTATAATTGCAGAAAACTGTTTGGAAGAATTAAGTGTCCAAGAAGATGTCCAAAATCTTTACACTCATTGACCCAGAGACTGTTTAGATGTCACTGATGAGACTCTCATAAATGTTTACTGTATGATGACCAAAATAGTCTTAAACACCCAACAGGCACAAGACGTCAACATGATGTCAGATTGACGTTGTACCCTAACATCATGGGGATGTTGCATTTTATTTGGAAATGAAAATTGGGTTGACGTCAGAACTCAACATCAGACCAATGTCAATATCCAACCTAAAACCAACCAAATATCAATGTCTGACGATGTTTGACGTTAGCTTGACATTGTGTGGACTTTACCACTATGACGTCTATCAGATGTTGAATTTTGATTGCCATAGCTGATGAATAAATGCTAGTAATTAATATTAATATGATGTTGGTTTAAGATGTTGGCTACTCTTTGGATTTGGGTTACTTTCCAACAAAACCTAAAATCAACCAAATATCAATGTCATCAAAATAATGCTGTCCTTAGAAACTGGCTAGCCATTGAAGTTTGTCTCCTGACATCACAACCTAAATCTAACTTAATATTAACATCTAATGATGTTATGTACCTGCTGGAAAAAAACTAGATGCACTACAGAATGCTACGTTTACACACACATGCACAAATTACATGTACATGTAAACGCATTAGCCTTTTACAGCGTAATACTCACTACTACTTGAGTCTACTTTTTACTCATATTTTGTGTAATATTTACAACAGATACTTTTACTCTACTTGCACTACATTTTTGGGCAAGTAATGGTACTTTTTTTTGTGTATGATTTTTCAGTACTCTTTCCACCACTGCTTATTTGAAAAATACTGCATAACAGCCTAAAGCAGAAAATCATAAAGTACAATCTGTGCCGTGAAGTAAAGCACAATCACACATCTGACTTTTGCACTTTTTATCACATTTCTAGGATTATATCTTGTTGGCTCCGTTTTGCTGACATTCCTTCCTCTTCTCTGTCTTTTTTTCCGTATCTACTCACAGATGCAAACGAGAGGTCGGCCAAGAGATTTTCACCCAGTGGAGTCTTCAATTACACCTCTCTGCTCCTCAGTAAAGAGGATAACATGCTGTACGTCGGCGCTCGAGAGACTCTCTTCGCACTTAATATCAGCGATATCAGCAGAACGCAGATGCAGCGCAACGTGAGTTTCATTCTGGACCATATTTTGCCATCTGCATCAGTCTGTGATATGGAGAAGTGTGATTAAAGTGATAGATCACCCCAAAGAAAAAGAGAATATCAGCTGTTAATTTTCAGGCTGTTAGCTGCATGGGAACTTTTTCTTCTCAGTAGAACATTAGCTAAAGAGGATTTTTTAGCGAAAATGTGGTCTTTGATTATGATTTATAAAATCAACAGCAAGTCAACAGCTATTGGAACCCTGAGAGTAAAGTAATAATAATAATAATAATGTTATGTAATAAAATAAATAAAACCCGTGGCTTTTGTCTCAGGATTAGTTGCAGAGGTTATGGATATATTATATACACTACCTGACAAAAGTGTTGTCATCTGTCCAAGTTTCACAAACAGCAAATAATACCTTGACTTCTAGTTAATCATTTGGTTTCAGATATGGCTTATATATGAAAGGCAAAGGCCTCTAGATTACTCTTATTTTACCAAAATAAAATATGATTATGCCTTGATATTTAAACATTTAATTAGGACAGTAAGGTCTGACTTTGCTTAGGCAAAAGTCACTTAACAGAAATAATGTACAGTATAGAATACAAAGTCATGGAGCAGTGTAAAAATAATTAATATTGTTATGAGCTTGGAGGACTGCATCCATACATCTCTGCAATGACTCAAATAACTTAATAATAAAGTCATTAGGAATGACAAAGAAAGCATTTTTGCAGGACTCCCAGACTTGATCAAGATTCTTTGGATTTATCTTCAATGCCTCTTCCTTCATCTTACCCCAGACATGCTCAATAATGTTCATGTCTGGTGACTGGGCTGACCAATCCTGGGGCACCTTGACCTTCTTTGCTTCCAGGAACTTTGCTATGGAGGTTGAAGTATCTTGGTTGAGGTTGAACCTCTCATGTGGTTTGTAATGTAATGGGCAGCACAAATGTCTTCATACCTCAGTATCTCTGCGGATACTCTGCGGATCTCTCTTACGCCCCCATACTGAATGTAACACCAAACCATAATTTTTCCTTCACCAAACTTGACTGATTTCTATGAAAATCTTGTGTCCATGCGGGTTCCAATAGGTCTTCTGCTGTATTTGTGATGATTGGTGTCATGTTCACCAGCGAACAAACCACCAGATGTTGCTGGTAAACACTCACTTATGGAACTACAAATCTGCCAGTAAATGGACTACATATTCAGTCATGCCACACACACACACACACACCTGCTTCCTCATTTAGACTGATTACACTCTCACCACCTGAGCATTGTTAAAGACTGATAACACACAGTATTTAAGCAGCACACACACTCATTCAGATTGACGAGTCTTGTTAACTGTAATAGTAACACTACAACGTGTTTTCCTTGTCTTGTTTCTCCGTGTTTTGACCTTAGCCTAGTTTATCCTTTTGTTCTTGTTTGCCGCCTGCCTTCTGACCTCCTTGCCTGTTATTCGACTACGATTCTGGACTGTCTCAATATACCTGTTTATACCTGTATTGACCATTGCTTGCCTGACCCCGATTAAACCTGCATTTGGATCCTACCTTCTGTTGTGAGTGTCACTCCCGACGTTACAATTGGGATGCAGTTTTACAGATGAATTATCTGAAACAACCTTCTGCCACTTTTCCAACTGATTAACTAAAATTTAGTTTTGCCTGTATATATTTATTGACTCTCAAATTGCTGTTGACTTGCATTTTTCGAATCACCAAGGACCACAGTTTCAGAAATCTAAAAATCTTCTTGTATGTTTTACTGAAGAAAAATAAGCCACTTTCACTAAATCTCAATTGGGCTGAAAAAGTAAATTAACAAATTAGTTTTTTATGTAAAATTCCTTTCTAGTCTTAAGGAGTAGAATATTTTAGTAGAATATTGTTGATTGTGTTGTTTGATTGAGTTTTATTCTTCTCATCTTAGCATATTAAAATGGGATAGGAGGAAGTGTTTAACAGGAAAAATGATTGTTGATATTTAATACAGATAATGAGTTATTTTATGGTAATTTCACAATTGCTGTTTTGGAAATATGATCTAAACAGCTACATAGATGTCATGTTGCTTTATAAAACCAGGAATAATTGAAAAAACATGTATGTTGAATATCTACTTTAATAATAATTCCGCCTCCAAGAACATTAAAGATACTGTTGACTTTCTCACTTACCCAAACTTGCCTGTTTGCTAAAAACAACTTTTAATACATTAATTGAACTTTAAATCTATTAACTTACAACTTAAACTGCACTTAAAATGTTAAATATATATATATATATATTTTTTTTTACTTTATATCAGGTAGTTACAGAGAAAATAATCTTAGTTTTCACTTAGTATAATGTAAATCTAAAATTACTAAAATAAATGTAATTAAAACTACACAGACAGAGCACTGAGATGGTTCCTGCTGTTTATGTCACCATGTTACTTTTTCAGCTTGCCTATAATATATAGTTGAAGTCAGAATTATTAGCCCTCTTTTGATTTATTTTTTTAAATATTTCCTAAATTATGTTTAACAAAGCAAGGACGTTTTCACAGTATGTCTGATAATATTTTTTTCATCTGGAGAAAGTCTTATTTGCTTTATTTTGACTAGAATAAAAGCTTTTTTTTTTTTAAACACAACTTTAGGGACAAAATTATTAGCCCCTTTTAGCTATTTTTTTTCTTTAGTCTAAAGAACAAACCATCATTATATAATAACTTGCCTAGTTAAACTATTTAACCTAGTTAAGCCTTTAAATGTCACTTTAAGCTGTATAGAAGTATCAAAAATTATTTACTGTCATCATGGCAAAGAAAATTAAATCAGTTATTAGAAATGAGTTATTAAAAATATTATGTTTAGAAATGTGTTGAAGAAATATTGTCTCCATTAAACAGAAACTGGAGGAAAAAATTAAACAGCGGGGCGAATAATTCAGGGGGCTAATAATTCTGACTTCAACTGTACAAGTATGATTGTTTCACTTGAAGATATGCTTGTATATCAGTTGAGGTGCATTACTTTTTTTCAAAATGTACCATAAAATGACATTGCACTTCCATTAAATGCTGGAATCTGACAAAAGAAACCTATAAACATCTTTTTTTAAAAGTGAACTATTCAGTTGTTGAGTGGAGTTTGAGTTCAGCGACTCGCTGATCACTTGAACAGTTAGCGGAAGTGAATAATGAGTTTAATTTCTGCCTGTTGGTTCCACAAACGCTATTGTATGTTTTTTTAGAAGATGGAAATATACAGTATAACAAAAGTCATGATATTTGAAATCTGACTCATCATTTTCACTTGTACACAGTTTAATCTAGTTAAGACAATTAAGCTTATTCCCTTAGTTTGAACAACCCTAATGTTCTGTTAATTAGTGGAGTTCAAATCTAACAACTATATTGATAAAGTTTATTGATTTTATATGTAATACATCAGGCCCATAGCCAGGGGGGTTCAGGTGGTTCGAAAGACCCACCCCTCACTGACAAAAGTCCTCATTTGTCCTACTTTGACTGCTATGCCATCATGAATTGTAAATAATGCCTATAAAAGTAACCTATCAAATAAGGCTTTAAGTCCAATGGAATCCTGTGTCTCGGTCTGACTTCCCATTCTAAAGTGCCAAATTCAGCATCCCAAATTCTGACTGAGGAAAGTAGAATGTGTTGGCCAGTTTGTTATTTTTAATAAATGACAATAGGCTAGAGTTTTTAATTTAAAACTTTAACGGATTTCAGATTACTTTTTAATGATATATGATATAAATAATTTTTATTTAAAAAATAAGTATTGTTTTCATATTTCTTTAATCTAAGTCTTTAGAAAATGTTTTTAAAAACATGTGGTTATGATGACCATCCAACAAGCTAATAATGTTGCTTAAAATGTCACTAAAATGCAGTATTTAAACCTAATAATTAAATAGAAAATGAGGCAAATAACTGCAAAAAGGTAAGTTAAGTACAGGACTGGGTAAGTGAAAGATAAATCTCAGAACTCAGAACTGACACTGATTTCCCCACATGCCAAAATCTTACACTGTAAACAAATCATGGTTGCCTTAAATTTTTAAGCTGAATCAAACTAACCTTGAGTCCACTGAACTTATATTTAGTCAAACTGACGTAAAACAGCTCATGTAACTTCATAAATCATCAGTGAACAATGAGTTAAATTTCTGTCTGTTGATTATACAAAAACTTTGTTTCAATATGTATCTTGTATGATTTTAGAAAAGCACAGTATAACAAAAGTCATGATATTTGTATTATATTGTGCACTTTTTAAAGCTTGAATGTTTTAGTTTCCATTAGTGTCTTGCTTCACCCCACTCCACCCTATTGTTTTTTATCAAAGTATTACTCTATAATTCTTTGCAATAAATAATCTTTTTAAAGTCATAAATAGACCTGCACAGCACAGTGTGAATACTGTTTTCTGACTCATCCTGAACTGCAATATAACAGCCACGGTGACTCACTGTAGGCCTACTCAATGTAAAAGTACTATATGTGTTAATGCATCATGAAATTAAATGTACTATAGCTGATGAGATGCTTCAATTTAGCAATGACTTTTCACTATTTCAGTTAACGTGGAGCACGCCGCAGAGAAAAAGAGATGAATGCAGTTTCAAAGGGAAGGACTTAAAGGTGAGTCAATAAGATATTCATCAAAACGAGTGGAGAGATGTCTGTATACACTCTTAAAATAAAATATTCGTTATTGGCATTGATAGCTACGTGAAGAATTTTTAACATTCATGGCTTTATTTTTATTCCACAAAAGATTCTTTTGATTATGAACATGTGTTTCACAGAGAAAAAAGATGATTCTTTGAAGAAATGTTCTTTGGGGAATAAAAAATAGCCTTGTCTTTGAACAGGCACTTGTCAATTTATGCTTAAAAAATAATCATAGGTGTAACTTTATATTATTATACTGTAACACATTTTTTCCATCACATTTCCACAGCTGAATAGTGTCATTTCAATTTAATTCAAGTACAGTAAATAGAAACCAAGAGCAAACTAATTTTGAACTGAAAAGATCACTTTCGTTTGATTTGTTTTCTCATTTTCACTTGTACACAGCTTAATCTAGTTAGCCACTTACTTTGAACAACCCTAATGTTCTGTTAACTATTGTAGTTCAAACCTAATAGTTATATTGATAACATTTATTGTTTTTATATGTAACATATGGACTGGGTAAGTAAAAGAGACTAATTTTAGAACTCACACTGATCTCGCCAACTTCCCATAGTCTTTCACTGTAAAAAATACTGGTTGCCTTACATTTTTAAGCTGAATTAAATTAACCTTATGAGTCCATTGAACTTATATTTTGTTAAAATATAAAGCTTGTGTAACTCATAAAATTGAGTTAGAACAGGATTAACTTTGTTGAACCTTTTAAAAATCTCCAAACTAATTGAATATTAAACTATGAGTCTTTCTCTTTACTTTACTAACTCCTAAGATTACTTTTATTGTTAATATTTTCCCTTTAAATGCAATCCAACAAAAAGCATGCTCAAAAAATGACATTTGATGTTTGTTTTTATTCTACAGTAAATAAGCCGAAACAACATAATTCTTTAGTTTTTTGGGGGACAACGTAATTGTTTTATGTTCAATCCACTTAAATTTGTTAAAGCTTTATTGTTTTACAACTCTTAAAAAGACTTTGGCTGCAGGTTCAAACTACTTATTTAAAATTAGTTAAATAATAAAATTTTTAGGTTGTTGTTGGGACAACCTATATGTTTTATGTTGAATGCACTTACATTTGTAAAAACAATTTAAGTAAAAGGATTTGTGTTGGGGCAACATGAAGGAATTGTGTGTAACCCAGCATTTTTACAGTGTATCAGTGTAAAAAAATAATGTTTGCTGATTGTTCAAACTACTTACTTAAAATGAGCTGAAACAACACAATTCTTGGATGCTTTTGGGACAACTTTATTTATTTATTTTTTTATGATCAGTCCACTAACATTTGTAAAAACTAATAGGTTAACTTATTGTTGTCCCAACACAAATAAATTGTGTGAACCCAATCATTTTTTACAGTGTAGTTATGCCAACATATAAAATTCATGTCATACCAAAACACAAAATCAAAGTGACGAGTGATCCCAAAACTGAAAATTCTGTCATCATTTACTCTCCTTTCATTTGTTCTAAACCTGTTTGACACAAAAGAAGATCATTTGAAACAAGCTGGAAACCTGTAACCATTGACTTCAATAGTAGCCTATTCATTTTTCATACAGTGGACGTCAATAGTACCAGGTTTTCAGCTTTCTTCAAAATATCTTCAACAAGTGATAGAAACTCAAAAAAAATTTGAACTATTTGGGGTTGAATAAATGTCCTGACCAATCAGAACAGCTCAAGGGTGATCTTCTGTTAACAGTTGCAAGTTAGCTGTTTAATTTGACTGCACCAATACCTAAGAGCTGTTTCACATTTTTAGATGGTCTCTAAGTGGATTGAACATAATGCAAATAAAATGTAAAAAAAAAAAAAAAAAAAAAACATTTTTTTCGGGTTATTTGTAACAAGTAATTTGAACAAGAACCAGAAATCTTTCTTTGAGTGTGCCTAAAGAAAGATGTAGGTCTCTGAAGTAGGTTTTTGTGATATGATTGTGCTAAATCTAAATCCAAGAAACTGACCGTCGCACCACTTTCAGTTTGTTCCTTGCCACATCTACACTGTAATTTCCCTGAAAGCTTGACACTGCATAAGGCCTGTTATTAGATTAATAATCTGCATGCCTAATTTGCTGCCAGACTGATTTGTCTTGGGAGCCAGGTTTGGATGGATGTTTGGACCTTGATGAAGACACAGTAATAACTGCTGTTTCTTGAGACCGATGACGCGCAGCTGCCAGAAAGCTCTCCTAGACTATTACAGAGGATTTAGATCAAACCTAGTGATGTGGAAACAAGTTTCTGAGGCCCAGCCAAACAACAACAGTTGCGCACCCAGACAGGCACTTACTTTGAACATTCGCCTTGATATAATGATTGTTTGCGTGCAAACCTTTTCATCTTAATTCAGTCATCATTTATGAGCTGTCCTGTTTCAGATATTTAGCTAGGGAAATTAAAAAGAAGACATTTTGAATGTACACTGCCGGTCAAAAGTTTGGGGTTAGTAGGATTTTTACTTGTTTTAAAATAGGCTTCTCCTGTTCACCAAAGCTGCATTTATTTAATCAGAAAAACAGAACAAATTGCACAATTGTGAAATGTTATTGCACTATAAAACAACTGTTCAAATTTAGTTTATTATTTAATTTAATCATTTATTCCAGTGGTTTTAAAGATGATTTTTCAGCTTCATTACACCAGTCGTCAAGTCACATGATTCTTTAGAACATTATTATTATTATTATTATTATTATTATTATTATTATTATTATTATTATTATTAATAACATTATTATTAATTGTAATAGTAATAAAAGAAATAATGACTGGAGTAATAATTTAATTTAAAACTACATACAATAAGAAAGCAGCATATTTATATTTATATATTTTTATATTTGATGAAAATATTTTTAAAAACATTGATAAACAGAAGAATTTCCTTTAAAAAAAAAAAACTGGCCTCAAACTTTTGACTGGTAGCATAGTTGGGAACCAGGGAACAAGCCAGTGCTGTCTAATATATAGACATTACCATTGAATTGGTATTTTGTAGGCTGCACTGTGATTTCTAGATAGAGACTTTTACAGTCTTTTACAATAATTTTTCCACAAATTTAAGAACTTTGGTTTCAATTTTCAAAACTCTAGACACAAAATTCACAACCATTGCCAAAATTGAGTGTTTTTGCAAAACTCTTAACTCTTTTTTTTTTTTTTTTTTTTTTTAATGCTTGGATACAGCACACACAAATCAGATATACTTTGTTCATTGAACTAAGATCATCTATTCAATATAACACAATTAAACATCAAATTGATCCTATTTTAAAATGCAACTCAAACATTACATTTAAAATAAATGCGTTTTCATTTACTTAACAAGATGTATTATCAATTGATACAAGCACTCAAAATGATAAAAAACTGTTGCATTACTCTTGATGAGTGGAAACTGATGTACACTATTACATGTTTAGATGATCAAAATTTTAGGATAGATCAAATGACTTCAGTTACCACAGAAGATGACCTAACTGGACTACATTATCTATAGATTTCATTTTTATTCATCCTTATTCCATATTTATGGCTTCTTTGTTTCATGTAGCACTTTTACAGACAATGTTTTCATATTTGACATTATTGTACTGTATGTGAGAAACTCCAATCAGTGCAGACCAATGTCAGGCCTGGATTCACATTGACAGAAGGTTCGTTCCAAGATTTTTGAGTAATGAAAACACCAATGTGATGTAGAGGAGAACCTGCGATCAAATCCACAAGACCAGACTGATGGAAACACAGATCCCAATATAGAAATCTAATGTATATAAAAATATATGCAAATTACATATGTGACATAATAGTTCATATGAATTGTACATATATAAAATATGTCACACACGTCAAAATATTGTCATTTTTTTCAACTAATAGAATTACAAATATGTACATATATGTAATGTAAATATATTATCCATTATGTTATATATTTAATCCCTACAAATATACAACCTATAATTTGTATATGTGTCCATATGGCTTTTTATGAACACACACATTAACACACTAACACACATGTTATATATATAACTATTTTTAATAATATAGTTGTAATTTGCATATGTTGCCATTTATCATGCCATATATCATCTTTCTCTATGGAGATGTGTAGTGAGAAACAAAATGACAGTAAACCTAGAGTATGATGGAAAGAGTAAAACTAGTTCAGTGTATCCACTGTCTGTACCGTTCCCTCTTCACTTATGTATAAACTATAACGAAACCTGTATCGTTTTTTTTAAACATCAATATTTAATGATTGTGCAAGATTGTTTAAACTATGTGCATCTTGTGTGCTGGTGATCTAAAGTTGTGTTCCTGTAGTATTTGTATGATAAAAGGATTATGTGAACCAATGATTCTGCAAATGCAAGAGTTCATAAAAGAAATGAATGCAGCTTGCAGAGTTTTGAACAACGGAGAGCCTGTGTTAAAAGTAGTGACTGTTTAGAGTCTTGTGTCTAGAGCTTTGAAAATTGACATCAGCGTTCTGAAATTTGTGGCAAAACAATTGAAAAAAAAACTGTAATATGTGATCAAATGATTCTTGTTCTAAAAACAGTATAAACCAATTGCATAAATGATCATTACACTGAAAGAAATTTTAGTGGGTGTCTTCTGTAAAAAATATATGATGATCATTGTGTTGTTTAGACAAAAATGACATTGAACAGAACTCATTCTACTCTACATACACATTTCCCTTTTGCTCTTCCTCAACACAGACGGACTGCTTCAATTACATCAAGATTTTACTGCGTGTGAACAGCACTCATCTGTACGTGTGTGGAACGTATGCCTTCAGTCCAATCTGCACATACATCGTAAGTACTGCTTCATTTTCTCCTATTCTGCAGCAGGATTTCACCACCACCCTCCACGCGTTTAACAGGCTGCAGGGGAGGAATTAATTATCCATGTAATTTACTCAGTCAATCAAAATGTCCTCAGAAATACACTCTTCCGCTCTCCCTAAGGGTAGATGCCGTTCGGATGAGGAATGATTATTGCCCTGCACTTTACTTAGACCCCTTACTCTGGAGAATACGGCTGGATCCATAAGACACTGACCTCTAATACTACTGAAGCTGTGGGGTAGTTTATTTAAGCTGATTCTAAGAAAACTGTCTGCATTTGCAGTAAGAATGGGTGTTATCTTATCATTTGTGATATACCCAGTAAAAATTCTCCACAAAATATAAGCCTTCCTCCAAAAAAATGCAAAAACATGCAATCGGCCTACATTGTAAAACTCAGAAACTACAACATTTTACACCTAAAAGAGACAAGGTTTTTAACTTTATTCAAATGTATTAGTTTTCTTCAACACAGGCTCATTGTGAAAATGTACTCCTGTTTACACTCCTGAAGTGCACGAATTTTGTTGCAAGAGATTAATTTGGTCTTTAAAACAAACACAGCAGGGTGGTATGACACCACCAAAGACTTTTGTTTCTTTTTGTGCTACCGGCTGACCGCTTACCCCCATGTAGACAGCTTTTCCGCTGTTACCAGTTTGCCCAGTAGCTCACCGCATACATCGGCAGATTTGAGACGCAGAGGAGTTGACCGCGATGACAATGTTTGAGTCCGGCGAAGAATGGTTCCAGAAAACAGGTAAAACAAAAACAAAAAGCAAAAAATAAATAAACATGTAAATAACAGGGTGAGAACGTGGTAGGATCTGAAAAACGTGGTAAAAATTTGGCGAGGAAAGGGGATGTTTGGGTCAAAATGGGCTTTTGAAAACACTGTCAGTTGGGTTTAAGGAAGGGGGTTGGTGGGGGTGTCGGTTGGTCGGTCGGTCAGTCAGAAGGTTGACAGTGGCCTCTGGTGGATTTCTCTGGTGGAGAAAGAAAGAAAGAAAGAAAGAAAGAAAGAAAGAAAGAAAGAAAGAAAGAAAGAAAGAAAGAAAGAAAGAAAGAAAGAAAGAAAGAAAGAAAGAAAGAAAGAAAGAAAGAAAGAAAGAAAGAAAGAAAGAAAGAAAGAAATTTGAAAAAGCGCACGCAACCTCTGGTGTACTTGCAAAAACTCCTTTTGTCGTTTTTAGCGATCTTCAGAAATGTAGACAGGGGTACGTATCAATAATGAGCCTGAGTTGGTTTTCTTTTAGGTGTTACAAGTTTAAGTAACCTGTTTCAGCTAAGCTAATGTGTTGGCAACTTTTAAAACACTACAGTTGCATATGTGCAAAAGTTTTGCATGTGTTTGAGCCAAACAGATTTACTGCCACACGTGTTCTCCAAATTTACTTTATAACATCAGTCACGTGTTTGAAATAACTTCTTTTTGTGCACAGATGTAGTTTCAAATCACAGAATGAGGAAGAAATTATTCTATTTCCTAGTATTTAATACAGTAATTAAGGCTATATCGATTAGCATTGCTGAACCAAAATACCTCATGATGGCTCAAAGAATTTGGACAAATCATTTTTCCCCACATTTATGTGTTAATTAGGGTTGCCAGGTTTTCGCAATAAAACTAGCAATAAACTATTCCAATGGCCAGTCAAAACTATCCCAATGGCTAGTCAAAACTAGCCTAAAGCTTGCCCAATGACAACTTGAAACTAGTCCATTAGTGTAATAATAACAACTCATAATAGTCCACCACTCATTCATAAACACATATTTAACATGACTGCATTATGCATTATACATGGTTTCTTTGAAAATGACTGTATATTAGCATTTATAAATTATTCTGTTTTCATAAAAATCTTCTTACTTTAAGATTGACAGAACAGCTTGCATGTTTAATTTCATTTTAAATGTAATATATTTTTAAAAATCTAAATTAAGCATTCCAGATTAAATTGTAAATCAACAGACTTTCTTCTGTAACTTACATATTCATTTGGAGGTATTTTTTAGCAAATATCCTGGAGAGTCCTGCTGTCTGTTACCATGGAAACAAAAACAACTGCATGTGCCCAGGTCTTGTCTGGAGCCCCATGTACTCACAAAAGTATACTTATGCAGTACAATGTTTTACTATCCTTGCGCAGTTTTTATCATTGGTAGAATATACAATTGGTAGAGTAAAATATTTTAACTTAACCATATAATAATAATGAAGGCTACATCAAATTGTTAACCATCGGATTAAAAAAACAACCTGCGTCAAGTGAATAAAACAGGCAAATTCCACAGGAAAATCACATTTTTTCAGTACACACAGGTCTTTATTGTATTATTGCTTGCTATATGTGTGTATTTATCCTCAAGGGCGCCCTCTAGCTTCTAATATGAATGAAACCAATATTATATTACGTGATCTATCCCTATTTTTGTTTAAAAAAATGTAATTATAAAAAAAGGTAATACTTCTGTTTGAAGATACACTGGTTTTTGAGGTTACTCAGTGGATACATATGAATCATTAAAATTATCATTATCACAATAAATACCGAAAAGCATTCCATATCCATCCCTAATTTGCTCATATCTATGTCCCTTATACTATGTCCCTATAAAGTCAAAAATGAAGAACAAGTCCATCCTGCCACAAACCTCCGTCCAAACATCCACTATTATCAGTATCCTTGGCCCACACACAGTCGATAGTACACACATCATCCCTTCTCTTTGAGTCTTTTCACTCTGTTCTTTCTATCTTTCTGGACTTATCGTAATAACATGATGTTCTGTTCAGCAAAATAAGGTCCTTGTTTAGATCTACGCAAGCAGTGAGCAGTCAGTATAGTCGATATAAGAGACAGTGCTGGCTGTCTTTACAAGATTGTCCTTGTGTCTTTTTTTTACCACCCAGAACACATCAAACTTTTCCCTGGTGCGCAATGAAGTGGGAGAAATAATGACTGAAGATGGTCGAAGCCGATGCCCCTATAACCCTGAATACAAGTCCACGGCCATCATGGCTGGTATGTGCTAGAAAAACATTGGTGTTTACAACGGATGCATGCATGAATGTATTAACCTAAGATGTATTCAGATGCATTCTTTTATTTATTTATTTATTTTTATAAATAAGATATTGCTGTAATTCAGTAACTATTGATATCCATAAAATAAAAATACTATGGTAGTCAGTGGTTACTGTTTTCCAACTTTCTTCAAAATATATTTTTGTGTGTGTGTGTGTGTGTGTGTGAGTTCAACAGAAGTATAAATCTCAGATAGGTTTGGAATAAGTGGAGTTATTAAATGATCACAGAATTGGAATTCAGAATTTTATTCTGAACTGTCTCTTTAAACTTGTTTCTGGAGGGCCAGTGTAAACGTGTTCTTGTTTTTACTTGCGTTCACATCTACCCAAGTAGAGTTCAAATGCCTAGATGTGTTATTGCTTTGCCTCTTTTATCAAGGATACACCAAAAGGTGACTTGTGTGAACTTGCAATGTACAGCAGGTATCCCAGAATGTATCTTGAACCACCAATGGCAGAAAGAAATGTGAAAAACAGTACCTTTATTGACACAAAATGTAAATTTTAGATCTTTTAGTGTGAGAATGTGGTTTAAAACTCAAAGCTGCTTTTTATTTATAAAGATTTTGAAAAGATTATTTGCAAATGTAAAGATATGACATCTAGATAGAAAGTGGTCATTCAGTGCTTATGTACTCCACTAAGAACAGCTTTACCTTGGCCAATAGCCAATGTTTGGTTTAATGAATCTATTATTTGTTCCCAGGTTTATTGTTGTGACAAAAAAAAAAAAAAAACAGTTAAGGTTTGCTATTAAGCAGGTCAAGTAAGGAGTTATAGTAACTTATAGCCAACAATACAAAGTGTTACTATTGAATAGTTTTAGTTAATAGCACTAGAATATATTTTTTTAAACCTATCTGTGCTAAAACGTTATGTAAAATGTAAAGTATATTTGCTAATTTGCTTTATTAATGTCTGTTTTTTTTTCCTTCAGATGGAGAACTGTATGCTGGCACTGTCAGTAATTTCCAAGGAAACGATCCCATCATTTACAAAAGTCTTGGCCAGGGCACAGCACTAAAGACTGAAAACTCACTGAACTGGCTTCAAGGTAAGAGCCATATCAACTATTTCCCCTTTTAATAGAAAGAATTCAGCAAAACTTTTATCATTTTTTTGCTGTATTTGAAAGCAAAAAGGTCCATATTAATCACTAACTTGCTACAGCTGAAAAGGTGCAAACATCTCTGACTTGTTTGTTTCCCTCACTGTTGTCACTCACAGTACATGTACAGTAAACAGCTTAGGAACAATATTTATTGGAAAACAGTATAGAAAAACACTTGACTAAATAAATATATTTTCCCAGAGATGGGTTGTGGCTAAAAGGGCTTCCGCTGTGGCGACCCCAGATTAATAAAGGGATTAAGCCGACAAAAAAATGAATGAATGAATGTATAAATATATGTTATCTCCAGATCTTTGTATTTAATGTTTATTGAGTGGCTATAAAAAGGTGCACGGTCCAAAGTGATACAATAGGCAAAGGTGATTAAATGAAGTCCTTATAATTCTTTTAAGCTCAAACATACTTTCTTTTTATATACATTGGACTTACTGTAAATTGTGTCTCACAAAAACAGTGTTTTTTTATACTTAATTTTGCTATATATTTTATAATTTTATATACACATATCATTTATTCACATTTTTGAATGGACAAACTTTTTAATTTAGTTTTTAAAATGTTTTTTTGTGCTTTTGTCATTTTTATCAGTTCCTTTTTTTGTAATTTCAGATTTATTACATCTATTTTTCACTCAATATAAAGAAGTGATTGAGAAATGGTTTGTGATTTGTAGTAAACATAAAGAACTTAATTTAAAGAACATACTGCAAAGCAAGCAAGTAAATAAGTGCCCTGAAGTACCACTGAGAAACCATTTTGTACAGTGGCCGGGAAGTGCAAAACAACATTTCAAAGTGTGAAACACTTTTACGAGGCTCGAGACAAATTTACATTTTGGAAAACATTTTTATCTATCATAAGACACAATTACACAGGAAAAACAAAGCAAATTTACATTTTAGAAAAATATGAACAAGATACAAAACACTTTTACCAGTCCCTAAATAAATTTACAATGACAGATTTTTTTACAGAAAGGGAATGTAGCACACAACGTAAGTGACAAAGTGAAAGGTGTTGTTGTCTTTGGTGGAGAGCGTGGTAAATTCATGTTGTGGAGTACATGATGTAAATAAAGTTTATGGTGACCGAACATGGACTGCAGTCGAAGGATGTTTTTCCTATTTTATGGCAAACACATGAGCAGCTTAACACAGTTTTGCTTTGCGTTAGGTTGGTGTTTGGAGTTTCTAAAGGACGCAAACCAGACGGAAACACCAGACATTATGTATCAATTTGTTCGATATTTTAACGAGGGCCATGCGTATGCTCTAATCGTAGGCATGATGTCAAGTCTACACGGTGTAAACATCTGCTTGAGGACTCTTAAAAGTAAACTGAACGAAGTTGGTGTTACGGTTTAACTAATGACCCTTTCCAGATGTAAACTATTCATGTTTGCAGATTGGCTCATTCATCACTTTTTTGAAGTAACAAAACATGCCCATACCAAATAAAGTGTCTTATTACTTGGTGTCAGTGTCATTGTAAACATTATTGATTTTAATATTTGTGTTACAGAACTGTATATGACCAAAATTAATGTCAAGAAATAATTATAATTTACATGTCATCAACAGGATTCGAACCCAAGTCAAAAAGTTCAGCACAAGTTTTAATGGACCTATCTAACTGAGCAATATTAATAGTCAACTAATGCTGTGCTTTGATTGGACTGTGTCTACAAAGTCACACATGACCTGATATTTTCCGGTGTGTGGTACATTCCACGTCACTTCCGATGTGTGGTAGATTCCCTTTCCGTAAAGAATCTGTCAGTGTAAATTTGTTTCGGGACCCGTAAGTGTTTTGTGTCTTGTTCATTTTTTTTTCTAAAATGTAAATTTATTTCATCCTTGGTAAAATTCGTTTTTCCTATGTTGTGTCTTATGTTGTGTCCATTGTGTCTTATGATAGGTACAAATGTTTTCCAAAATGTACATTTGTCTTGAGATTCGTAAAAATGTGTCTTAAAAAGTATTAAAAGTTAAATAAATTTATTAAATAAATCAATGTAGAGAAATTAAAGGCCCTTAAAAGTATTAAAAAGTCTTAAATACTATTTTGCAAGATAATTATTTTTATATCATTTTTGTTTATGCAATGTATAGTTGTATGCTCAAGTTTGCCTGGATTAAATCTGCAAATATTAGGATGCTGTGTAGTTTATGAAATCAGTGAAATCCTACTAGATTTGCTGCTTTGTTTACTGCAGTTACCGAGGCAACAGTATTATTTCTGCAGTTCTATAGGTGCCACCCTGCTGAATTGGCTAGATTTAACAGATTTTTATTCAGTATAGAAATAACGTTTTAGTTTTGGATTAATTTCTTACAGTAATATTTAGTTAATATACTGTAAGGTAAAATCTTGCTAGTGTTTCCGGTTGAAAAGTAGTTATAAGGTCTTAAAATGTATGGAAAGAGTCTTAAAAAAGATCTTAAAAGCCATTAAATTGAACTCTTTGATTCCTATATATACTCTGTTCACATTTTGTAATGTTGTTTTGCACTTTCCAGCCACCGTAATTTTGGCACAAAAACTAATTATCCATGTAAAGCAAGCCTAGAGAGAACAAAACAAATCAATTTAGTGTGAGTTTTTACAGTCAAACCCTTCTCGCTTTACTAAAGAGGACTGAGTAACAGCTTAATATTTTGCCATAAGTGGCAAAGTTGATGAAAGCCACGTATGCAAAATCAATACAGAGCACTTTGATAGTGTAACAAAAGATCTTCTGTTAGTAATTACAACGGAAGATTGTCATGTAAAAGGAGTTTCAGGTGAACCAGTAGCTATATTTAAGATGTAAAATCCACATTACTTACAAACACTGCAGTCTCGCTGTACGGTCTGCGGCTTGGATTGACATTTGTTTTTATTTTTTTCCCCACAGACCCCGCTTTTGTGGGCTCAGCCTACATTCAGGAGAGTTTGCCCAAAGGCAATGCAGTGGGCGATGATGATAAGATTTACTTCTTCTTCAGTGAAGCAGGAAAGGAGTTCGATTTCTTTGACAACACTATTGTGTCACGCATCGCTCGCGTGTGTAAGGTGAGGAACATTTCAGCGTAAACACAATGTCAAAAGAAGCTGAATGAGGGCCTTTCTCCCTACAGCAACAACCAAACTGCATATATGTACACACACTTATACACCCCACAAAGAAGTGAAAGTGAATACATGCCCTCATATGTATGTGCGTGTTAATATTAGTGCGCAAATGTGGGACAGAGAGAGTGAGTGTGTTCACATGGTCGTGTGATCGCTTCATGGGTCACACCAAAGTGAGAGAGGTCCACTGCCTTTCAGAGAGATTAGGAGGCTTGTGTTTCAAAGACACATTCCTCAATGCAGAGCGCTCCTTTTACTTGGTCCGACTCCAGTTCTTATCAGTGCTCAGCAAATATTAGCATTCATCCATCGACTTGAGGGGCCGGTGAAAATACACATTACACACACACATGCATAAAACACACGTCACTTGCAGCTCTTTTCAAATGGGTGAGGAGTGAAACAAGTGGCTCTTCAAGAGTCATTGCTTTAAATGATTCAATAAAGTGATTGATTTATTTAGAATAAAAAAAAATCTGTTTGAGTGAGTTGTTCAATTATTTACTCAAACCATACGGTTAATTGAATCATTCAAGAAAAAATTAAGATATTTTATGACTCATTGAACCATTGCCGCAGTCAATTAGGTCAGAAACAGATTCACTAAATGACACCCCTATTAAGGAGTCACTGGATCATTGATTAAGTTGATTTGTATAAATGATCATTACAGGAATAAAACAGGTGATTCTTTATGACATTGAATCACTGCCTCAAATTGTTCAGACTAACCACTGATTTACCCAGAAGTGAAACAAGTATCTCTCTGCATGTGGCAGTTATTGAACTGTGCACTCAAACACTGAATCCACTGAATAATTTTATAAAAAAAAGTTACTCTCTTCTTCAAACCACTGATTCAGTCATTAAATCACTGATTCAGTTCAATTCAATTTAGGATCTAAACAGCTGTCTCTGTATTTAATAAATCATTGAATCACTTCATCAAATGGTTTAAATGTAACTGAATTATTCACAAATGAACTAAGTAACTGTTTGCACTGTAAAAAAAAATGTGTTGCCTTAGTTTGTTTTGTTAACTTTCTAATTATCTCAACTTACATCAATCCAACTGACTAAAATTTTAAAATAAACTTTGTATTACTTAAAAAATGAGACGAAGCAACATTAAAATATCTGTTATCTTGACGTTTGTCATTTTTTTACAGTGTATGAGTCACTCAAAGGATTTGTACAAACCATTGATTTATTTAGAATCTATGTGATTGTAATCTATGATTGAGAAGGGCTCTATTTTAACAGTCTAGGTGCAAAGTCTAAAGCACATGGTGCAAAAGTATCAAGGACGTGACCGAATCCACTTTTGCTATTTTAAGGAGAGAAAAACACATTTTGTGCTGCAGTGCATGGTCTAACAAGGTTGTGCTTATTCTCTTAATGAGTTATGGGTGTGTTTTGAGCATAACGTTCATTAAACCTATCAGAGTCTCATCTCACATTGCTTTTAATAGTCAGTTGTGTCAAGCCATGGCGCATTTGCTATTTACATGGCAGGGTTTAAGAGGTGGGAAAACTGAATGCTTTAATTGTAAGAAAACAGTCAAACAGACCGCAGTGCAAGAATAAAGAACGAGTCTCCTCCATTCTGCCTCTTTACTTTTACTTTTTAATCCCTTTCTTTTGTAGAATAAGGAAAGTGTGGTAACTCACTCTACTGAAGACATCCATTAGCCTACATATTTAATTTTGTATGTTAAGCTGAAAGATTTGTTTTAAACTTATTTCTAAATTCTGTTATAATTTCCTGCAAATGAATAAATTTACATTAATAACGAAGTGTGGTCAAAAAACTGAGATATATCCAAACACACGTCCTATTCTTATGCCTAATATGGTTCAAAACCCAACAGGTGGACAAAGCTTGTTTTTGTTAAAACAAATATAAATATCCATATAATAAATAATACTGCTAAAAATAATAACATTATACAAATGCAAATTGTTATAAATAAACTGAAAAAGCCCTTCGAGATAAGGTAGTGGTTTTTATATTTATGTAGAGAATAATAATTTTTGTACCATTTTAATTCTTATTTTTTTTTATATGTACAGATATTTGTGAATTGCTGTAAAGCCTTTTGTATATTAAGCAATGTGTAAGCATTGCACCTTCATAGGTGCATAACTAACATGCACTGCACTTGACTTTAGACCAGCTTTCAGTTGGCCAGTGGCGCAGTCTGTTTCAGTTCCTCAAATTAGCAACACGAAAACAATGCGCCTTAACACACCTCCTTCATAGACCAGGACACCCATGAGTCCAAAAGGTGGTGCAAATGGATTTGCTATTTAAACAATGTGGCGAAAAACATGAAGATTACTGTTGCACTGGTCTGAAAATAGCAACAAATAGCGTCATACATGTCTTGTGCCTTATTTAGCCAGGTCTATAATACAGCCCAATAAGTTGAGTCATCTATGAATAAAACAAGTTAGTCTCTTTATTAGTACACCATTGAATCATTCACACAGTCAATTCAAACAACCAATTTCACACAAGATAATCCCCTGTCTGAGAGAATTATTGAATAATTGATTACACTATTTCCTTCGAACCACCCCTTCTTTTAGGATGAAAACAATCACACTGCGAGTTGTTTAATTATTCCCTCCATCGATTTATTTGAAACATTGATTCAAGAACATCAGACAGCTTTTTTTTAGAGAAGCAGAAATAGACCAACTAATTGTCCAAAACTTATTTGAGTGTTTCATGAAAGACAAACATTTTTATCGGAAATGTTATTCTGACAGTACTTACACAATCCAGAGTACACAATTTTAAATTGCTGTCAACTGAGAAAAAAATTGCATCCAGATGGTGTCTTTAAAGACTCTACTAGCTATGACTAGCTGTGCTACGTATGCTAACTTTGGCTTCTTGGTATTTTCAAACTTGGTGATGACAGTGACGAATAGAAACATTCACCGATTGCCATGTGGCTCATTCACGAAGGCTTTTCGAACCAGCTTCACTAAGCATAATTAACTAATGCTTTCCGTTTTCACATCAGCTAATTTACCAAGTGGCAGCCGATAGGAGGTTCACGCTCTCCTGTCTTCCTGCCTTGTAATATGAATTATCACACAGGCTGCATGAAATGCCTCCTGACAGTTAAATAGTTGCCATGCCAGGGGAATGTGGCCTGCTTATTTGCATCCAGTACCTTAAACATTATCCCAGGTTCCCTTTTTAGCATGTCCCATATTCCCTGTGCCAGATCCACTGGAGTTTAAATGCATGCATTTTCACGGTATTGTACTTTATCTCATCTTATATAGTAAACAAATGTAATGACTCCTGCAAAGCCCATTAGTTGACTTAATTATTGTGTGTTCTGTGATGCAACATGCAACAAAGTAATGAACACAGCCCAGTGCGCAAGTCCTTTCCTATCACATCTTTGCCTTTTCTGAAATTTAATTTCCTCTGCTTGTGCTCTTCATCTCAAAGCAGTGTGTTTGTGCGCAAGGGAGTGATCTGAATTTTAAGAGAGTCTTTACGTTGCCCTGTCTGACCCTGTCTGATCTGAATGCTGCATGATCGGGGTGCAACATCTGCAAGATTCATTTGCCTTCTTGTCTTGCTTCTGAAGTCTGAGAACAGCGTTCGCTCGCTCGCTCACTCTCGGATTTTGGTTTCTTTTCTTTTTGACTTCTATCTCACCTCCAATCAAGTGTCACTTTAATATGGATGCTGGTGCACTTTTGCACTGATGACCATGTCAAATTCCAGTGGAAACTGTGATGCATGTCAGCCTATCCGTTTACGTTCTGCAACAGTTCATTATTGTTTCAAGATTCTTTCAGAGTAGCGCCTGGGGTTTGGATTTGAAAGCGTACCATATCGTTTACACTCAGAATGACAATGAGCAGAAGCTGTAATCCTTTGATTTCAAATTTGGAGTGAATGGCAAATAGTATGTGGAAGCTGGTGCAGTGCTTTCCTTGGATTAATTAGACTTTCAGGGTAATTACAAGCAAATATTATATATTTACAAAATTTTTTGTCATTTTTGGCTTTATTATGACAGGTCAGTATATTGACAGAAAGTGAAGATGGAGAAAGAAGGGAAAAGTGTGCGATTCAGGAATCAAACTCATTGAATTTTTCATTGATGTCTGGAATGTTTTACTCCAAAAAGATATTTACTAAAGGCTGGCTCACACTGTGCAATTTTTTTTATATATATATATAATCCTGAATGATAGTAGCATGTCAGACTGCACGAACATGGCTCCCATGTCACACTGTAAAATCTCAGCTGTCATAAAGTCAGACTGAACGACAATGAAGAGGAGCCAAACATGAAAGAAAACTTTTGTTTGAGTTTGACGTCATCCACCAGTGACACTTTCATTATCCTGTGTTCTGAAATGATTCCTCACAGCAAATGTAAACAATCTGTTGTGGTAATTTTGCACATAGTGTGTCAATAATGAAACCTGAAAGAAAAAAAAAAACAGTTTTGACATTTCCCCCGCTGTCATTTAAATTGTCGCATGGATTGCGTCATCAAATTCTGCGCTCCTATTAGTTGTCACACTGCAGAAAAGTGTCTGAATCTTCTGACACCGCCAGAGCTTCATCTGAGGAAAAATCTGATCGCAATGAGCACTAAGCGGCTGTCTATGAACATGTCAAACCATTGATTAAAGATCACTGATTTTAGCCAAGGAATTTTTTAGGGAAAAAAAAAATCCCAAATTTGTCTGAATGACAAAATCGTGGCTGAAAACTCACAGTGTGAACAGGGCTTTAGTCAACTAAATTGTCGTATTGGCTATTCAACATTGGCTATTCAACATTAACTCATTTATTAAGCAGAATGCATTTGATAAAACTTCTAGTCACAGATTAGCTTAGTATTTTTATATGATGTAGTGTAGAATAGGGCTGGGTGATAAAATAGGTATCG